ACCGAGCTTTTAAAATTATAATAAACAGGGATCTTTTGGATGAAATGTTATGTCTTTTCTATTGCCTGTTATTTCCAGTTAGGGCCTTTAAAAAAATGGAATTCTGGGCAGGAGGGGGGGTCCTTGAGCTTGGAAATCCAGGCGGGAGGGGGGCTCTAGCGGTCTGGGAAATCCAGTCAGAGGGGGGGTCAAAAATGCTTGCCATTCGTCAGGGGGGGTGTATTTTTTCTGGAATAACCCAATATTAGCAAGCCATAAATTTCCATAAATTACCATTTCTTACACAACAAGAAAGAAGAACAGGTAGGAAACACATCTGCATGGTTTGTAATTCATAATCTGTCTTGTGGTTTGCTCTTACATCTGATCAGCAGCTATACAATTATTCTATTCAATTATTGACATGTTCTGTGATTCGCCCAGTAATCCACTCAACATTCTTATGTGATAGTTGGATTATTACAATCTTTGCTTTAAGTACAAATGAATAATGCGATCTGTTCACGAGTAAGGCAAGTGATTCTCAAATATGAAGTGGAATGCACTTGCTATTTTGTCTGTAAAAAAATACATGTATACATGCACTTTATCACGTTGACAAACATACACTCAAGAACTTAACTCAGATCCTTTCAGTCTTTCAATTCAGAAACATTAAGAGGAACACTATAAAACAAATCGCACGGTATACATACATGCATGCCCAGTTAAGATGGCGCAATATTGGCCTCGTTCCTTCTCGAGTGTTTAAAGTTTTTGCAATATGGCTTGATCCAAGCAGTATTTAGCACGTTAAAAAGGAACTTGGTCAATATCTGCCTAATAATTGGTCAATAAACTATATGTGTATATATTTATGATACAGAATTTCTTAACTATATACACATACACACAGTAATTACAGAAAACCCACTTTATGAAAGCATCAGTTGTTAAATAATCCCGTTTGCCAGTTCATGTACGCAAGATCAGCTAAAATATGTACAACTACAGATCTCTAATATTAATAAGCTTTATGTTCGCACTAAGCTTTCTCGGATAACAGCATATGCTACTGAGTACTTCACACAAGCAAATAACACCCAAAATGCTACAAAACTGTTTTCATAACTTAGCTCCAAAGCCGTAAATCTTACCTCCTCTAAACCAAGTTCCCTTGCCACACTTTCTAAACACTCCAGTCCTAAAGCATCTCTCGATAGCGTCAATTCTATGCAAGATTTGTCAGGTATTTCGACAAGCACGGAAATTTCCTTTGTTAAATCATCTTTCGAAGGTTTCGCACATATGCCAAAAGGCATATCTATCCCAAATCATGAACAAAGACGTAGTATTAAATCGTATTTTTCACAACAACGATAGTTTGTGTATAGATTGGTTTCGCTGAACGTCAACTTTTTGGACCGCGTATAGCCTGGTACTCGAGTTGCATTCCGGACATTCCCAACGCAGCAGCGCCGCA